GATAATGAAAACTTAATGAGGTGCACCATTGATAAAAGTCGAATCTTTGAGGGTACCAGTGATAAAATCCCCCCCTTTTTTTTGAGGGAATTGAATGATTCATTTACTGTATATAGTACGTACTCCATGCGTGTTTTTTTAAAGTGTTATAATATGACCAGCATATAGTTTTAGGCAATTTAATTTCTAGGGACGGCTAAGGGCCTGTGCAAACAGACCCTTAGCACAGGGCCCCGAATTTTTGAGGGCCCATTTAAACATGAAGCCCAAAACCTAAGAAAAAAATAAAGTGCCACTTTTTTTGCTCTAGTGTAAATCAGAAAGTCAGTAACTTTAATTTCCATCTTCTATTCTTCTTCCCGTTTTAATTACTTCCACAAATCAAGCACCTAGACTACCTCGTAAATTGCTCTCAATTTGCTTAAATATTCCAAAATCTTCCTTCTTCAGTCATAAAATTTATTGTTTTACCCCAAATCTTCAATTTTCCAAATAAATGTTTTTCCTTCCTCTATCAATTACAATGGTTATGACTTATGAGAAGGATTTTTTCAATTCCTAAATTCCTACCATGGGAGGAACTAATAGTGTGCTTTCCACAATTTAAATCATAGATTTCTTATATCAAAGGCTAAGTTGTTTTTATTTTTTTATATACAAATTTCAAATATTCTATGAGTTATTATTTAGTTCATCTTGCCAATTTGTGATTTTTAAGATGGAAAATAAGAAAGTAGTTGTAATGGGTACTTCCCTGTCGGCGAGTCTTTGAGTTGCGGCAATTGGAGTTGCGAAAAATGATTATCAATTTGTTTCAATAATCCTCCTCTCAATTATTAGACTAAATGTAGAATTTGTGTTTTTTTTTGGTGCATTGTTTGTTCAATTATTAAAAAAAAAATTGATGTTTTTTTAATTATGTCTCCCAAATTATCTTTTGGAGATGGTGCAATATGATGATTTGGTAAACGAATTTGCTTCAGAAATTGCTATAAGTGAAGGGATTTTTTTTTTGAATTTCTTTGTGCTTGGTTGTTTAAAATGTTGTAATACAACTTTATTGAAATAATACCTAATAAAATCAGGGCCTAACTTCTAAGTTTATAACAGGGCCCCTAAAATGGTTAGGCAACCCTGTTAATAGATTTAAATAAAACACAAACTATTGGGTCATTCCTGCCTGACCAATAGTTGTGTCAATCGCACGGGTTTGTTGGCCCAACTTTCTTTTGTTCAGCCTTATATAATTTCTAATGCCTACAACCCTCTCTAGGAAATGATGCCTACCCCCCTCCCACAATTACCAAAATAGCCCTTACTCACCCCACTAACCGCATCCCACTAAACGCACTAGTTAGAACCTGCAGTTAACTCCCCAATTCTCTTCAACACCATATTCTCTCTTTCAAATAGTGAAAATTGCTACAATCAGGAAAAAAAATCTTCAAAATTAGTGCAAATTGCATCAAAACATCTAAAAATATCTAACGTTCGAGATGAAGTTCGTCAATCACAACTAAATTCTGAAAAAGAAGAGTAAGAATTTGTCCATTTAAGTAGAATTTTGAATGTAAACCCTTGATTTTTTATTTTTTTTTGGGTTTTGATATTCTAAAACAAAATCTACTATAATTACACTTATTTTTGTGCAAAATAGACTAAAAATCTACTATATTTGGTGGTATTTTTAAATTGTAGAAATGAAATAGAGGAGAACACTGCGAATGTTCCGTCGGAGAAGACGGTTGCTGAACAAATGTTCATTTTCGAAAAATATTCATTTTCAATTTAATAGATGTTCATTATGACATTAGTATATGATCATTTACATTCTTACCTTACATCTACTAGCTAGGGTTCATTATTGAGAGAAGATTACCCTAATTTTGTCTATGATATTTACACATTAATGAATGTTTACTGATATTTAAACATATGTTTATTTGAATATAAATACGTACATGTTCATTCTCATATTGAAAATATCCACATAGACTATAATTATACATGTTTAACTTCATATTAAATTATATGCTCATGAGCGTCATTTGAATAATATACTACATACATTTTCGCTCTAATATTGATAGATGCTTATTCGAATTTGATACACAGATGTTCATTTGTATATGTGTATATTAATCACACATATATTAATGTATGTTCATTCACATGTCAAAAAATGTTCAAAAATAAATTACACATTGTTCATTCATCATAAACCTTTGATGATTCTATTTTAAAATATGATTCTATTTTAAAAAATGTTCAAAAATAAATCACATTTTGTCAGTTTGTCACTTACATTATTTGTGATATATATATGTTCATGTTATTTGTGATAATTTGTTCATTTATATAAAACAGAATGTGCATTTTTGTTTTTCCAATTGAACATTAATTAAATTTGTAATATCAATATAATGTTTATGCATATATATTGATATACAAACACAATATATATTGTAGTGATGTTCTATATAGAGTGAAACACACGTTGCAATAATTTAGAGATGAAAACTCTAAGCCTATATTTATACAGGAGATAATGTCATCAATTATATTGAAAGATAAAAATGAACAACATAGTAATTGGTGGGAATCATATATTGATAGACACTACTACAAAAATGGTCTAAGGTACCACTTTTTTAGCACCGGTGAAGTTAGAACACCGGTTTCTTAGATAAAGAAACAGTATTTTATAGACGCCCGATTTCTTTAGTTTGATGTTTTAATAGTGGGCGAAAATAAAAAAAACCGTAATGTAAGAACACCGGTTTCTTATCTCTATGAAAAAAAAATATAGCACGCGGGAACTCTCACTAAAAATTCCCTCCTAATTAAAAAATCTAGAAGGTCGTACATAAATCATAATTTTTAAATAAAACAAATAATAATAAAAAATTCTTCTTCTTTCAAAAAAAAACTTCTCTTCTAATTGACGACTGTAGTCCGTAGCACTACTCCGCCATAACCGCAAAGATCACCCAGCACTCCTTTCTCCACATTTACCCATTATTGTTCATTGGTCCGGCGGCGATCCTAGTATATATCTCATTAACCCAATCCTTTCATCTTCTTCCATTCAAGATTCAATTCGATAATTGGTCTGAAGTTAGGGTTTATTGAAATTTCATAACTATACTATTGTTAGTAGCGTCACTGCGTCCACCGATCCCACCTACACCACCGTCGCGATAGGTTCAACCTTCTTCCTTGAAGTTTATTATATTGTTAATTAAATTTGGTATGAATTTGCATGTTGTGAATATTGTTAATAAAATCTTAATTTGATATATGTAACGCATGTTGTGACTTGTGTGATTGAATATTATATAAATTGATTACTAGTTAATTTGGTTTGATTGTTACTATGATATACTGTCTGGGCTTTGTGTTTAATGGTCTCGAATTTTTGACAAAATTGAACTTTTGGTGATCAAAATAATTATACAAATTTGCAGTGCAGACCTTCTTACGGTTGGTGTTTAATTGCCCTTCTTGATAAACAAAATCAAAGCCAAACATTGGTGTTTTAGCTATAGGTGAGAGATTTAGAAAATTTTTGATTAAATGAGGATTAAGATGTAAGAGGCTTAATGATGGGACCATTTCCATATTTCTCTAGTTGTTTGCTTATTCAATAAAGATGAAGGTGCTTTATTAGGTCTTTGCTCTGTTTTCTATTTGTAGATTAGAGTCAATAATAACTATCTCCTTGACCATAATTGATTTTGTTTCCAAGAAATTATGTTTTTGGTTCGGCATTTATAATATAATAAGATCTTATTATTTTCTAACATTTTCTTGTAAAATCCTTTGATTTCTTCTATATTGATTGGATAGACAACAAGTTCTTTCTCGTGCGACAAAAAGAATCATCTATACATGCTAAATAATTTACTTTAAAACAGAACTTAATGGCGTTCTTGATTCAAAGACTATTATTGTCATCTTGAACTTTAAATATTTTTTTCACATAATGTTGTAATGACTCTCATATGGCTTGTTAGTTTATAAAATCTAATAGTGTTTTTAATGATTATATCACAAAATATGTTATTTATATTGGCTAACTTAGTGGATCTATGTCTATTAGATATTTGTTTATATGACTGCCTCCTCCCACGAGGGCTATGTGTCTATGTATAATTGTTCCATCATATATGATGGAAGTAAGTGTTCTTTGTAACATTATACCAAACAATAATTAATCCCACTACTATATTCTAAGGAATATTGACAATACAAGCTAGTAGAGTGAGATGTTTTATTTTGATCAAAATTGTGTTAGGAATCTTTTCACGAGCTGCTTACACAACCAGAGGAGTATATATACATAACTTTATATGTTTATAATCACAATGTAGCAAGTGTTGTATTTTTTAAAATATATTTTTATAATTTGCTCTTTATGTATATTATGGCTTATGGCTGCAACCTATCTATCTACAATTAAATCAAGGACCTTTAGTGGGGTGTTTGCATCATAAGCTCTAATGAAATCCAAAGTGGCCTATATAAATATATTATTGTATTAACTTTCAAATTTACTATGAAACAACTTTTTAAGTACTTATTAATTTTTTATGTATATTCTATAATTTTGTTATGCATATAGAGTATAGACCTTATTTTTTTTATGTTTCTTATATTCAGGATCCCATTATTGCTGGGTAACTCATTCGAATCGAGTATATAACTTATTTGGTGTTTGGGTGTGCGCGCTTCGATTAGGTGAGCTACATCTCTATATTTTATCTTGTATTTTATTATTGTTTTTCATAATTTTTTGGTGTAACTCGTCACATGTCATGATAAATATGGTATACTTATCTTAGATTGTTGCTTATTAGTTGTTTGTAGATACATCATAATAATTCAAATTTGTGTTGGCTTAGTATTCATTCTTTATTTTTTGCTAGGCAAATCCCTTAATAATGTTCTGTAAATTTGTGCATGCTATGTTCTTTATCATTAATTATGTGTTTGTAGAAATGGATCGTAGTTGGATATCAACGTCCAAGCCGGGTGACCCACAATATGAAGTTGGAATACGTGAATTTATTAATTTTGCAATGAAAAATGCTGGTGATCGATCTAAGTTACCATGTCCTTGTTTCAAGTGTCATAATTTTTTGTATAGACTGCCCGATGAAATTCTTAGTCACTTAAGCAAAACGGCTTTTGATAGAACATATACCATTTGGAAATGGCATGGGGAAACTAATGAAGGAACTTCTACAACTGCTAAAGGAACACATGATGATGAAGGTCTTAATCATAATGGGGGCAATAGGTTAGAGGACATGATGCGAGTAGCCCAAGATCAGTTCAATGAAAACCCGACCACATTTGAGAGGATGTTAAGTGATTATGAAAAACCCTTGTACCAAGGCTGTAAGAAGTATACAAGATTATCAGTTGTATTGAGATTATATAATCTGAAGGCAGGTCATGGTTTGACTGATAGCAGTTTTACCGACATTCTTGAGTTAATAAAAGACATGCTACCAGATGAAAATGTCCTTCCAAGACGTACATATGAGGCAAAAAAAATATTGTCCACAATGGGGTTACCCTATGAGAAAATCCATGCTTGCCCTAATGATTGAGTACTTTATCAAAATGATCTTGAATCATTTAATGAATGTCCAGTGTGCAATGTTTCGCGTTACAAGAAGAAAGAAGGGGTGCCAGCTAAGGTGTTGTGGTATTTCCCAATAATTCCAAAATTTAAACACTTGTTTTCACATGCGAGTAATGCAGAAAAGTTGACTTGGCATTCTGAGGGGCGAAAAAAAGATGGGAAACTTAGACACTCAGCCGACTCCCCTCAATGGAGGTTTATTGATGCAAAATTTCATGAGTTTGCCAAAGAAAAGAGAAATTTACGCCTTGCATTGTCCACCGATGGTATGAATCCATTTGGTAATCTAAGTAGTAGTTATAGTACCTGGCCGGTAGTTTTGGTTACATATAACCTACCTCCTTCTTTATGCATGAAAAGAAAGTACATGATGCTATCCTTATTAATTTCTGGGCCAAAACAACCTGGAAATGACATTGATGTATACTTGGCGCCCCTTATTGATGATTTAATGACGTTGTGGGAGAAAGGTGTAGAAGCGTTTGATGCACATCGAAATGAAATGTTTAATTTGAGAGCTATGTTATTTTGCACCATTCAAGATTATCCAGCTTATGGTAATCTTTCAGGGTATACAGTGAAAGGATGTTAATTCGGATGAAATACTACAAGAGGGGGGGGGGGGGGGTGAATTGTAGTATGTTCCTAGTGCCTACTTTTCACGGAATATAAAACTGATTGCTGTTAGGAACTTAGACAATGCAAAGCGGATTTTACGAGGAAACCATCCAGGGCCCAACTGGAAGTAAAACCTCGACCCTACCTTAGGGATTTCAAGCCAAACCAATTCACTATAATAGGGCAAACACCAAGTTACAAACCTATTAAGTGACAGACCTTTACTCACAAGTTCCTGACTAAACTTGCTACACGATAAGACCCTATCTTACCCAATCTAAGTCCCAAACTTAGATTCACTCAGCACTCCCAAAGTGCCTACACTTGGCCTCTCACTAGAAGCTCATTCGGCTTCACCCTAGAAGCTTACACATTGCACTCTTCTAATACAATATTATAAAAACGAGAATCCTCACGAACTCTCACACCCCAATACATAAAACACTCAAAACCCTTTTTCCTAATTACAAGATCTCAAAGAATAACTCTAAATACATACCAATGAATAAAGAGATAAAACTAATATGCTGGACACTTCAAGATCTGTCTGGAACTTACTGGACGAACTGTAACTGGAACCTGACTGAACTTCGACCTGGAGGTTTGACTTAGTTTCGTGGTGAAGGATGAAACCATTAAGCACGACCACTAAGCTTTACCAGCCTCGACTTTGAATGAATACATATGAGCATATTTATAGTACACCCAAATTATTCTTTTCGTAAAAGATAAGTTTTATTAAAAGATAAAAATAAAAGATATTTTCCAAAAATAAGTTTTCCATAAATATATCTTTTGTTAAGAATATATTCAATCAATAATAATAAGATATATTTACCATAAAATCAGATTTTATCTAAATCTTATATTTTCCAAATATACTAATATATCTTACCATATCTTTTCACAAAAGATATAATTACTATAAAATTAGATTTTATTTAAAACTTATTTTGCTGAAAATATTTTCCAAAAATAACTTATCTTTTTCCACAAGGATTTATTAGAAAATAAATATCTTTATTCTGTAAAACCAAGTCCTTAAAAGATATTCACGTGGTAGATAAATATATATTATTAAATTCGACTTGTGACCTTTAACGACGTGCAGACGTAAGTTCCAATTAGGTTTCGGAACTCTGACAGTCTCTGAGTTCCTGACAAGTCAGTAACTCTAATTTCATTGACTATCATGAGTTCACCTGGTTCTTTAGACTTGTTCCAGACTGACTTTTATGTCGAACATACTTACATGAATCCTAGAGCGATATACTTCGATTTCTTCGTCTTCATGTTGTTTCTTTGAAACTCTTGTTCTGGAATCTTGTAGTATTGATGTATTCTAGTTCTCGGGGCAAGTTCCTGTTAGGGAACTTAGATAGTTCTTGTTAGAGAACTAAGTTCCTGTTAGGGAACTCTTCATGTACCTGTTAGGGAACATGGAATCTTCATGTACCTGTTAGGGAACATGCTCCGGCTTTCGTGGGAAAGCCTGCCGAAAGTTCCTTCTGGATCTTGTTAGAGAATACCTTCAGGTTCCTTCGTGGTTTGGTTCTCATGGGAGAACCTGCTTTAGGTTCATTCATTCTCTCTTGTTCCTCTTGAAGTCTTCTATGTTCCAACCCATTGACTTCACCTAAGTCAGTTCCTGTCTTCACATAAACACTTAAGAGAAACATTAGATTGAAGTTTGTTTGTCATAAACAAACTTCAAGTGAGAGAACTAATTAAACTTAAAGCTTATGTGAATACTCCTACACATATACAACTCATGTATTCATAGTGTACTTACCTTATGAAGCTAACATATGCAAACACCTATTTACATAGTTACCTTCATGGTTCTTTAACCATCATCATGTTTATCAACCATAACACTTATCATTGTTCATGTTTCTCTATTGCTTATCATATATTGCTCAGGTTCCTTATATATATATATATGTGACTGCTCAGGTTCCTTGTATCCTGTTCCAAGTATAACTTGTTCTTTCTATACACAACTTAACAAACACATTAGATAGATAATCATCATTAGCTTACAATCATCAAAACCTAATTACTCAACAAAGGAGAATCGCCTTGTCCAGTATGTGATGATGGTTTTAAGGGAAAGTGGTTATCAGCTTCTCATAAGACTGTTTACTTTGATCATCGCCCCTTTTTGCCTATTAATCAAGAGTATCGAAAGCGGAAAAAAGCATTCAATGGGGAACAAGAATTTAGAAGACGTCCAAAAGTCTTGAGTGGTGAGGAAGTGTTTGAAAAGGTTAAAGACATTAAGGTAACCTTTGGGAAGAAACATAAATCAACTCTTCCTACAAATGGATACAATGTTCTGATTTTTGGCCCTTACCTTATTGGAAATTCCTTTTTGTTCGACATTGTTTAGATGTGATGCATATTGAAAAGAATGTATGTGATAGCTTAATTGGCACATTGTTGAATATTAAAGGGAAGACAAAAGATGGTGTGAATGCTCGTGATGATTTAAAGGAAATGGGAATTAGAAGTGAACTCCACGCTGTTGATGGCATTAAAAGATATTTGCCTCCTGCAGCTTTTTCATTGTCACGGAAAGAGAAAAAAGTGTTTTGTGAAAGTTTGGCTGGAGTGAAAGTTCCGGAGGGATTTTCTTCAAATATTCGCAATCTTGTTTCAATGGAAAATTTAAAACTTGTGGGACTTAAGTCTCATGATTTTCATATTTTGATGCAGCATTTGTTACCGGTGGCTATTCGATCAATATTACCTAAAAATGTTAGATATGCTATTATTCGGTTGTGTTCTTTCTTTAATGCAATGTATGACAAAGTTATAAACCCGAAAGACTTAGATCATTGGGAAACTGAAATTGCTCTCATTATATGTCAATTAGAGATGTTCTTCCCTCCATCTTTTTTTGATATTATGATTCATTTGCCCATTCACTTGGTGAGAGAGATAAGATATTGTGGGCCGGTTCATTCAAGGAATCAATGGCCTTTTGAAAGGAAAATGAAAACTTACAAGGGATATGTTAAGAATGCATTTCATCCTGAAGGTTGTATTGCTGAACGACTCTTTTATGAAGATGCTACTGGATTATGTAGTGAATATGTAGAAAATGCAAAGGTTATTGGGAATCCAATATCTCGACATAGTGGAAGAATGGAAGGAAAATAGATCATTGGTCATAAACATCGTGACTTGACTTATGAGCAATGGCATCGAGCTCACACATATATTCTTTTCAACGAAGATGAAGTTGCACCATATGTTAAAAAACATATTACCTTCTTGAAACAGTGCAATCGTACGATGAGTAACAAATCATTACTTAGTGAACATACTAGATCATTTAGCACTTGGCTAAAGGATCAAGTAATGAGAGAGCTTCAGGATCCATCACACTCCATTTCTAAACGGCTAAAGAGTTTAGCTGGAGGGCCCAATTTTAGAGCATCCTTTTACTCTGGGTATGTCTATAATGGTTGCAAATTCTACACTAAGGAACAAGATAAAATCAGTACTATGCAGAACAGTGGTGTAGTAGTTGAAGCCGAAGCTATGCACTTTGCTAGTGCTAAAGACAATCGCCCTGCCTATGGTAAAATGTTGTATTATGGGATCATTGAACAAATTATTGAGATGCAGTACAATGATTTAATAATACCAATTTTTGGATGCAAATGGGTTAACAACAACACTGTAGTTGAATATGAAGATATAGGGTTTACTTTGGTTAATTTTGATAAGCTTGGTCACGAGGAAGATCCATATATCTTAGTTAGCCAAGCAAAACAAGTGTTTTATATGACTGATCCTGCTAATAAAAAAAGGTCGGCTGTTATAAAACCAAGATCTCGGCATATCATTAATGAATATGATGATGATATTGAGTTAGAGGAAAGTTCTTCCACTCAGGTGGTTCAACTTGAAGATGTCATTAATGATCACGGGGATAATAATTTATTGACATGTGCGTGATGACCATAATGAAGGCATTTGGGTTAATAGTGATGATGACAATGTATCTCGAAAGCGTCGTCGTAAAAAGTGACAAGGTTTGTGTAAATAGGAAATTTATATTGTTGTCTCTACGTTAAATTATTTAAATTAAGTATTTGTTTCACTTGATTACATAATATAAATTAATATACTCTCTTATATTGCATTAATAAAGTTTGTGCCTGTTTGATAGTTTGCTTTATTATTTAACTTACTGCATCTTGTAGGCTAATGGCGAGAAAAAGAAAGCAAGTATGTCCACCTGAAGGTGATACAACCAATGGGAATGAAGATGATTCAGATGCTGAACGACTTAGTCGTGAAGATGAAAGGGGTCGTACTGTATTGGCTGCGGTTGGAAAGGCAATTCAAAATGGGCATAAGATCCCTTTAGAGTGGGAACCTATTACCAAGATGCCATGTAGAGAACACAAACTTACTTTTTCCACCTACATTGGTGTAATAGTTCGGGAACGGGTTTGCATCACTTATAAAACATGGAAAGAAGTTCCAGATCAACTCTTAAATGATTTGTATGACAGAATTAAGGTATGATCCAATTATAATCAATTAACAACTTATAAAATTCAGTTGTTTTTTTAGTTGGTTTTAAAATAATGTTTATTAATATTAAGAATAATGAATGATGATGCAGAAGGGTTTTGTAGTGTTAGAAGAGCGTAAACCATATATCTTGCAGCAAGCTGATGACAGATGGAGGGCTTTTAAAACTAGATTGAGAAGAGATTGGGTGTACCATAAAAATAGTGGACGGCTAAGAGAAAATCCACCAAATTGGAAATATCCTTGGATAACTCTGGACGTTTGGAAAAAGTTTGTTGAATTAAGCACTACTGATACGTTTAAGGTATGAATTTCTTTGCACTAAGTTAATAATTAATATATTAATTGCATTAACATAAAGTAGGAATTATACTAGGTTCAGCTTAGTGTCTAATATTTTTTTATACTTTTACTATTGAT